AGATCAAAGTTCCTGACTTACACATATATAGCAAGTAAAATTGAAGCAAAGCATTAAATTGGCTGCAAACAAAATTTTGCATTTAAAATAGTACTTTCACAATTCAAAAAGCATCTATGCTAGGAAAGCATATGATATTCAAAGCTGAACTGAATAGTGATCATTTTTATTTCAGACTGCCTTCAAAACAATATTTTAAAAAATTAAATATATAGACATTTTAGTGCATTTGCTCATCAAATAGATTCATCGATGTAATAAGCTCAATGACAAATGATAAGGACTTATTGTAATCAAAATGAAGATGTAGGCCTTTCAATATGAACCATGTGCTAATACCCTGCATCTTTGTCACGTGATAATGTCATTGGTTTCTGCAGAGTTGGCTTTGTTGCAAGGCGCTGTGCAAAATATAAAAATATTATTCTTGTGTCATTCGCAGCAGTAGCATATTCAAAACATTTTTTACAAGTTGAACAACTTTTCAGTTTTTATTAACCATGCACTTTTACGTCACTATTATCCGTAAAATCATGAAGATTTCCTTTCATATCTTACACACTCCCAGGCCGGGGAGTACCTATTGTACACTCTTTTTGTATAACCATAAATTGTCAATTATCTGATGAGAAATGATAATGAAGTTGATACATAATAGCAACAATAAATATTTAGTTTAAAGAATTTTTAAAAAAAAATTTACTCATGATTTTATAATGTTATCATTTAAAAATTATTTTACTGAACTAATACATAAATAACGTCTCATTTCCCCATGTGCACTTTCCAACACAACCACAGATAGCTGCGGCCGATAATAAAGCTGGAATAGAGAATATTGGGGCTAATAGTGCTTATTCCAAATTCCAAAAGCTAGTTCAACAGATGTACAAAAGGTTCAAAGAAGTCAGAAAATTTAAAGGAATGGTATTGGATGGTCTACAGAAGATGTTGACGTTGGAATACGAGATGTTAATGAAAGTGATTCAGCAGTTTTGATTTTTAGTGGACAGGGATTGGTTCAGAGATTTTAGAACACATTCATATATGAGGACTTTTGGAAACATAATTAAGTGTTTTGTTCAATCTTTTTCCAGAAAAAAAAACTTATTAGCATAAAATTTTTGATCAATAAAGGAACAAAACAATATGATCAGCAACGCTCAGAACAAAAGGACACGGAGCATATAGAAGGGTTGTAGAAAAAATAAAGAAATTCCTTCTAACTTTGCTTCCTGAGGAAAAACATGTTACCCTGTCTTCTCTAACCACCCATTCAGAAAAACATCGATACCACTCGCTGTGTGTGTGTGTGTGTGTGTGTGTGTGTGTGTGTGAAGAAGAGGAGAGGGTTAAGACTTGAAAACTGTATGGAGATCCGCACTTTTATACAAATTGAATAAAAAGGGTATTGGTGGTAACTTTCTCAAACTTTTAACAGACATGTATTCGAACACATACTATTCTTGTAAAAAAGACAATCAAATGAGCGAGAAATTTAAAGCAAATAGAGGAGTCAAGCAAGGTAATAATTGAAGTCCAACACTTTTCAATATTTTTGTTGATGATTTTGTGAATTATTTCAAGAATGTAAGTACATATCCTGCTTATCTAGATACTATGCCAATCAATCATATGTTTTTTGCTGATGATCTTGTCCTTGTATCAGAATCAGAAGTTGGTCTACAAAATTGTATAGATATTATAGGAAAATATTGTTCAGACTGGAAATTGTGTGTTAATATGGAAAAAACAGATGTTATGATTTTTTCAAAAAAATCTGTTGATGAAGCATCATTTAGATTTTATTATAATCACAAAATGATTAACATAACAAATGAATATAAATATTTGGGTGTTGTGTTTAGATCTGATGGGAAAATGAAATTTGCTGCTGAACAGCTATCAGAACGTGCTAGAAAAGCATATTACGCTATTAAATCAAATTTTCCTGCAAATGTTAATTTTTCTGCTGAAATTATGTTGAAATTATATCAGTCAATGATAATACCAATTATAACATATGGATCTGAAATATGGATAACTGACTTTAAATGTAATTTAATGTCTTCAGACCAGTTTCCTTTTGAAAAAACACAGCACTTGATATTTAAAGATATACTAGGGGTACACAGAAAGGCATCAAATCTTGCTGTTTTATGTGAGTTGGGTCGTTTTCCTTTGTACTATTTATGTTATGAATATATGTTAAAATATTATATGAGACTGAAGGAAATGGAATGCAACCATGATTATAACAATTATTTAGTGGTATCTGCATTTAAAGAAGACAAAAATCTTGTATCTAAAATATCTTGGCAAAAGAAACTGTCTTCATTACTACAAAAATTAAATATTAGTTCTTTGGAAATATCTCACATAACTTTGAAAAACAAATTTACAAGAGCATTACCAAAACAAGATATATGAACAACTGAAAAAAGTTAGCAAATCAGACTCTGGAAAGTTAGCATTTTATAGCAAAATTGTGAATCAAGATGAATACAAACTGCAAAGTTATTTAAAACTACCCCTGAAGAAAAGTTGTAGATCTTTATTAACAAAATTAAGGATCAGTGCCCATCCACTATATATTGAAACGGGTAGATACTGTAAACCCCCTATTCCTAGAGAAAAATGTTTATGTTACTCATGTAAATTGTTTGTTGAAGACGAAAAACATTTTGTTCTTTATTGTCCAAAGTATGATCAATATAGATGCAATCATAATGATATATTTAATGTAAACACATATACTAGTGATAACCCCATTAGAAAAATTGTCAATCCTACAAATATTTCAACTGCTAGAAGGATATGTTGTATACTTGAAAAAGTTCTTGAAAAAGTGCTTTGGCACCAGAAAAGAAAGTCAAAAATGAATATTAATATTGAAAAATACACAATTTTGTTCACCTCATATTTCTCACTTTGTATATACTTGTATTAATTGTGTTAATTTATGCTATGTTATTCATGTTCATGACTGTATGCCGACATGGTAATTGTCAATAAAGTGAATTGAATTGAAAACTGAATGAAATGTAGGATGATTTTGGTAAATTACTAAATAGTATTTTGCGCGAAAGGGGTCAAGTGAAGAAACAGACTCTTGTTCTTCAAGTTGATTTATACTTGACTATCCGCGTGCAAATCCAATTCTGAGATTGATCACTATTCGTTACTTGTAATTTTTAAATTTCTAGAACACTTTATCTATTTAGACAGTGTTCATGTCTTTTTCTTCACATTTCACTAACCTTCTGGCGTAATTCGACAGACTTCATAAAACAAATAAGGAAAACGAAGATTTTTTTTCGCCAGTTCAAATGTCATGGGTTCATTAAAAATAATACTTTTATGTCGTCTTTTTCAACTATAAATGTCGTGTCCAGCGGGACTATAGTTTAAGAGGAAGAAAGAGGACATGTTTTCGTAAATGTTCAATTTTTGACACTGTAAGGGTTGTCTGTAATTGAAAAGTTTGAAATCAAATCTTTGCTATGAATTGAAAATACACACTATATTTTGTTCATTTTATTTTAAAAAGTAATTTTTATATCAAGTTAGCCTTGTAAAAAGTGTGTAAAATATACATGTACCTCCCATTTACTTGACAGTCATTTTATGTTGCTCTAGAATTATCAATCATAAATATTCTATTAATATAATTGTTAAATTCGAAATCAAAGAATCCATGAAATACTAATTTTATTTTCTCTCAATATGATATAAAACGATATTAGAAGTGCAATAAAGAATAAGATGACCTCGCCAATTATAAAATTCTTCAGTTTTTGTCTTTACCTTCAAAATGAAAAACGACAAAATAATGTATTCACAAACCCATACTCTGCATGTGTGAAAAAAAAAATCATGGAAATAAACTTACATACATTGTACGTCTTATTCACTTCAACAGTTCTTTGCTTACTATACTTAAAATGTACATAAAGGAAGGAACAGTTATTATTAAGGAACTCCCTCGAGAGAACAATACGGCGCGTGCATCGGCGTGTCATGGAACAAGTTAGCCGCGAAAACGACACGGTTTATGCATTAACCACGTCCACTAGAACCTGCGCGCCCGCATGTGAAGACCCGGGAGAAGCTATTTACACCACCGTGTATATTTCTTGTTTTGTTCCGGGAGTTCCTAAAAAATGCACAGGACTGTTGTTTTTTTAGGTAATGTTTTTTATATAAAACTTTCCCATCTCTATAAACTGTTTTATTAATTTTCAAAAGAAAAGTTGACAAGGTTTGTTAGTTCCAAAAATTTACATATTTGTGCAAAATTTCTGTAAATGTTTAAATTTTCTTAATAACACATTGTTATCTAAATACTAAAAGTATTGACAATAGCCACATTTATTTATTATTTCTCTATGTAAAAAATATATTGTTGAATTTATGTGAAGTTTCTTTTACCGTGTATTGTCACAAAGATTTTATCACAGGCAAAGTTAATAGTTTTCGGCCTGTCAGTTTGGGGGTTTCGGACATAACAATGAAGGTAATTGACGTTTTATTAAGAGAATCTGACAAAATGTCAGTAATCCGGTGAGAAATGAAAGGTTTGTACATGTTGAAGATTGGACCTATTCTTACATCATTTACATGTAAGGTATCAGCCACAGTGTCAGTAAAACGCCTTTACGTTCATAAAATAGCAGTAATACATGTATCTTGTTGATAAATTTTGAATTTACTATGGGGAGGGGTGGGGGTTAATGCAAAAATAATAACATGAATAAACTTCTAGTAAATTCAAAATTTACAACATGATAATAACACGTTTTTGAAGCATTTTGCATAAAACACTGATCGATAAATGTCGTGAAATATTTCACAGTTTTTTTTAATTTGGAATGTATTATGATATATCATTGCAAATAAAAATGTGATTGAACTTTCGTCAATAATAAGAAAACACATCTAAAAAGACTTGCATTTTTTCCCTTTATCGATCAATTTAGGCGTGGTGGTTTTGTTGGTTTCGACTGCATTGTCACAGAAAAATGGCGCGGTTTCCATGACTGCATCAAGCTCCGGGGTGTCGTCTGCAGTGTCTGCATCCAAAGCCAATAGATCAGGTATATTTTTAAGCATTCCAAGACTTACAACTAAACCTAATTCTCTAACAAAATCTAATCAAGAGGAAGTCACAGATGTTCCCGAGGAGCGGGAAATTGGCGAGGATCCGACAACCTCGGCTGATGGTTTAACTCAAAGGACAGAATCCAACTATGGAAGTAAGACGGCGTGTGACTGTAGACATTCAGCGTGTGACTGTAAATAGACAGTTTAGCATGCCAGGATTATCCTCTCCAGTATTTAAAGGGGTGCATTACTACAGCCTATGGTATATCCCATATATATGGTTGTTATATCCGAATAAACCTTTATCTTGGTATATATATATATATATATATATATATATATATATATATATATATATATATATATATATATATATATATATATATAAATATATATATATATGATTCGCATTTACCTTAAGCGTGTTTAAAGAATTTCATATGTAGTTAAAGAAATGCATGGTTTTCATATTCCCTTAAACTTCAGTTATAATTAAATTGGTTTTCCTTAAGTTATAGAATTTGAAAAAAAAATACATTCATTTTATAAGTGTGTTTCCTATGTGATCTAAAGTGATTTTCGTGTTGGGAATGCATGTTGTATGTTCCATTGTTGTACATGGTTAACCCTAAAGAGTGTAAAAAGACATTTGAAAGGAATCATTGTTGTACCCGCCTTTTGCATGATATTGCCCTTCCTCACCCAAATGAAGTTTGGATTGAATTGAACGTATTTTAATGTAATATATGTATACAATGGGATTGGGCACAAGTTCTCAAAACTTATTTAGTTTGGATCAATCTGGATCCATCACGTTGTTTAAAATGCTTTTATTAATCAATATTACACAATTAAGTCGAAGGAATTTCATCTCCCCATTGTCTTTATTTCAAAAGCCGATCCTATAGAGCAACATGATGCCACCACGTCGATGCCGCAACAGTCATAAAAACAGTCAACAAAACAGATAAAAAGGAAAGCTGCAGCAATTGCCGCGGCGGCAGTTGCTGCAGCAGCAGCAGCAACTCCTCCAAAAGCAATCCGACGACCAGCGCCAAAACCTATAGTACCACGTGATCCTATTGTGCATGCACGACCTCCTGTCGTCAAACCAGCACCAAGACCAACTGTACCACGTGATCCAATTGTGCATGCGCGATCAACAACCCCGGAACCAAAAGAGGTTGATGTTGAAACAACTGGGTCCACATATTATAACAGCAATTACTATCCTGATTACTACAACTATAATAGTGGTTTTGACGGTAAGCTCCTCTGCTTGGGAATGCTAGCATTGTATAATCCAATCCACACTTTGCAAAAGTTGTGTCACTTTGCAGGGTCAACCAAAAGGTCGAAAGGGAAGGAATTGACATTTCTCCTCTTAATGCTACCAAACATTTGGGCGTGCTACAATAAATCCACTGTCTTTAATTTTTTTTTCTTTTGATATATGGGTACCCCAGCTTGGGGCAATCAATATACAAGATGCACAGAATTTTTCCAGCCAGATGACAAAGATATAATCCAGGAAACTATAAAGGCTACTGTGAGAATTCTATGGATTTTTCCCCAAAGATGGCGGCAAAGGGACATAACTTTTTAAAAGTGTGGATTTTTAAACTATTTTCTAACACATATACTTTATTAAATGAATGTGAAAACTTAAGATCATCACTGGATATTTCATAAAGATAACAACATTAATTGATTAACATTTTAATTTACTTCACACACTAAGTATCATTAACAAGAATGTAATTTGCACCAAGATTGCTAACATGCACTGTCTTCCATATGAAATAATAAATGTATTTGGTGCTTGCACATTAATGATATTACTGCTAACAGAATAATATCCAATGTGTAACAATTCTTATGACATGGGAGTTTGTCCATGTAAACTTTCTAACAGGAAATGATCGTAGTGGCAAAAACCAAGGGGACAACACGTGTCCAGTTTTCAAAGAAACAATCATGGAGCACCACATTATTTTACGGCATGATGGATGTGAAATGTAGGTTGCTGTATTTCTAAAACTTTCTTTGTATGCATTATTCAACTACATTTTTATGTAAAATCACACTAAACGGATGTAAATTATTATTTACCAAAGCTTAACCAAGTTATCTGTATATTATAGTTTTTTTTATTGAATATTTATTCTTATGCTAACTTGTAAGCAATATTAATATTCATTGTCAAATGTTATTAATCATAGTTTCAGTAATATTGAAAGTATTTCTACACATCCATCCCTTTAATGTAGCGGTATTAGTAATAGTTTATGAACCGTAATGGTGCGTTCAAATTTTTTACCATAATTGAAACAGGTAGACGTTACTCTTCATTATAGTAAATACTAGTGTTCATGTAGTAACGCATGTTGTATATATGTTTTTTGGGCAAGTGAGTTAGTCCTGTGCGTAACGGAACTGACATAATTTGCATCGGGATCGACGTCGGAATCTTGCCTTGTTTTAAAGAAACGCTCTTTACGAGGGTAATGCTCCGCTATAAATGCGGTTAGAAATTTCGCAATATTCATTGCCAACAGATGGTACCTCATTAATGCCGTAATGAAAAATTAAAGTAAATGTGTTTCTTTGATATATGAATTAAATGAACGAGATATGAAAATTTCTCTTTAGAAGTTACGTAGAAAAACAAATGTAAACTATGAATTAATATGGCATGTGGGCGTCAATGAGCAAGAGCATCCTTATTTACATTTTTATTTAATTTCACTGCAATATTTTTTTTCAAATTATTAATTCAGTAAAGAGCAAAATCCTGGAAATAGGAAACAACTTCATAAAATTTCATTCTGTCATTAGCCCACACAACTGTTAAGAATCATTATTTGTTTAAGTTGTTGATAGATTCCACAGGATGAAATACTGTGATCATAGTGGCATATATATAACACTACTGCATTGAACAATGAAAAAAAACTTTAATTAAATTTGTCTTATATGCGAAGTAAGCATTCATTAATTTATTTTAAAACATATTTGACCTCTTGATTATAATTTTATCAAATTATGATATGAACTTACAATGTTCCTGACCCTCGTATATTGTGGACTTTTGCTTTTATTCATACTTTAATTTATGCATTCTGCAATCAAATATCTAACAGTTGCCTAATAATTAAGCAATAGAAGGTAAACTTATTCTTTGTGTATCATTTCAGCATTCTATCACAGGATGATGCTATTCGATGGTTTGGCAGACCGACGTAAGTACATCTAAAAACACGATTAAGCTCCCATAACAAAGCAAAAAAGGTTTTATTTCATTCTTAGTTAAGTCTTAAGGATTCTCTCTACACTGCATTCAGGGTACATATATTTGCGTAGTTAAACTGATCCATCAAACGATATATAGAATAATTTAAAGATTTTCTAATCAGTCGGTAAACCAAAATAATTTTCCCAGGGTGCTGGGAACAGCTCAATGTGTTCTTTTGCCCGAGGCTAATGGCCAGGCCACGTTTCTATCCATAGGAAGTATTTATTAAAGTTAAGTTTTGTCAAAACCCCTGGGATCTGGCCACAATATACTCGATATGTAAATAAAACATATACATGTATGCGCATTGTTATTTTTTCTAATTAATTACCTGTTTTACCAATTGCAGAAGGCCGCTAGTGTACTCAAGGAAATACCTATAAGGAACTCGAATACATCATAATTGTTCACCCAGCAAAGCTATCATCATTCCTATGTACATCTGCTGTAACATGCTTTAATTACTAGCTATAATAAACAAGTTCATTAATGTGCATATGGTTTAATATTCATTGTTTTTATGACAAACATCAATCATGTGGGAGTATGGAAATACCGGGAGATCAAAATACAACAAGCTGTATGTCCATTGATTTTGTGTACATGTATATTGTTTATAAATATTTACATTTGCTGATGTCTGTCCTTATATAACAATGATAATGAAATTGAAAATCAATTTTTGATGACACGTAGTTGCGGTCACATGATCCGATTTTCTTGCATATGGAAAGCAATTTGAACGAGCCATCTGGAAGTTCAGATTGTGACCTCACATGACGTCGTAGATACGTTATGTTGCATTACCATAACAAAGTCTAAATAGTGCCTATTTTTCCTTGTCACAGGAAAAAAATTGAAAATATAAATATAAGAAACAAAATATAATTTTTTAGAGTTTCATTGGGAATGACATGAAGTCGGTACGTGATCAAATATACTACAACGCCCTTTGGGCGTAATAGAATTTGATAACGTGACTGACTTCACGTCATATCCCAATGAAACTCTAAAAATGATATCTTATTTCTTAAGTGAGAATGACAAAATCTCAAAGTATTTAAGACAGTCAAAAATGCTTAATATGAAATTAACATATAAATCAATGTTCTTGGTCACCTGTATCACTCGATCAAAATGCTATATAGACTTATTACTTCGTTTATTCCCATCATCCCATTCCTCTTGCTTTAATTTTGAAAACGACTTTGCATCTCTCAGTTTATTTCAGTTTCAGTTTCTTTATTTCTTTAAGCCAACTGGCTCATCAGAGAATACAAACATAATAATTATAAGAAAAAAACATACAGAGATAGTGAACGTGAAGAACACATACATGGAAATAATACTATACATCAATTTTAATTTTTCTTAACATTGTTGCAGCATTCAAAAAAATTGCCCAGATTTAAGGGATCTTTAATATTATTGGAACTTAATAGCTGAATTATTTTAAAGACACTTGGCTTAGTATAATAATACTGGAGTCGTGTTTTATTGAGTAAAATGAACAAGTTTCAATTTGAAGTATTGGTATATAGATCAATAAGGATGGTTGCAGAAAGGAAGAATTTTGAACATCATAGAAGGTTTACAATTTGTTAATAGTTTAACAATTTTATTGCTTGTATCATTTGCAATAAAAATCGGCTGAGTAATTTATACAGAAAACCAGGTATCAATTTTTTTTGGTATCATATGTCCTAAAAACTTTTTTAAACAGATAGACTTAAAAAATTATGAAGTAACTGAAATTACTAATTATGAACTTAAGTTTTAGATTATATGAAATATGATTTTTCTAGCACACCAAAATCTGACTGGTTTTGAAAGCATAGCTTTAAATAGATTTAAGCAAAAAAAAAAAAAAAAAAAAAAAAAAAAAAAAAAAAAAAAAAAAAAAAAGAAAAAAAACCCCACACAAAAAACGGATATAAAAGTACTGGGATTGTTTGGTCCGTAGTAACATCGTATATGATGTAAAATTATATATGTTAACTGGTTAGAAGTATTTTTATAGCGCCATTTTCAGAAAAATGAAACAGAAGCATATTTAGTAAATATTTTACGAGCTTGACTATGACTACGCTCGTTTATGTCCGATTTAAATTTAAAAAAAAAACAATAAACTGTCGTTTGTTTAACAGCTTGATACACATGTCCTTTTTTTTTCTTTTAAATATCCTTTTCGTATTTTATATCAAAAATATCTATAAATAAAACATTTATTTTTATCATTTTAGTCAAAGAATAATCACTTCAACTAATTAAAAAAAATTTAATGATAAGCAAAAAAAAAAGAGTTTGAATGATACCTGTATTTTGTTCCTCAACATCTCCGGTGTTTTCGTCACTTTTTGTCAACTCTGACTTCGAGATATCTAGAGTCCATATACCATGACTGGTAAATCATCTTAGTGATAATGAAACAAATCAAAGTTAAGTAGTGTATATTTAGCGTAAATGCAAGACTAACCTTTATTTTGATAATTCTATAATTTCCTGTGCACCTGTCACGTGTATTGGCGAGTGGCTTGTTCTCGGAAACTAACTTACCCTACTTTGTTTCGAATGTACGTACAATATAACACTGATTAAAATGACCTCTGACATCGGTCGTTTATATTGGTGTCACAGATTTCTATTTCCCTATCATATTTTTCATAAAATAGTAATTGATTTTTTTTTTTACATTTATAGCAATAATTATGTTCTTTGCCTTATTTCTCCGTGTTCTTAAACAGAAGCTGTCTGAAGCCACCATTGACAACGTATTAATTTCAACGACATCGTTGAATTTCAAGGCAAGTTTTAGTTTAGATGAAGACACAGGATGCCATTGTTGAAGTACTAGTACTGCTGGTTAAATCATTGTTATTATTAGAAAAATGTTTCTTTAGAAGTAAAAAAAAGCAAATAATAGACTAGAACAATAAAAAAAAAACCTTGAATGTTCCAAAGAACACAACAGTCTATATATCAACGTTTTGTAAATTAAAATGCATTGTAGCAACCGCTAATGATAGAACTTCACTTAATGATACAAATATCATAAAACGTTGCAATGCAACGCTTAGTGTCATAAATCATTGCATTAATAGTTGACATGCTCAACCGCTTAGTGATATAATTCTTTCATTAAGCGGCGATTTAGCATTAGCGGTTGAAAAGGTCAACCATTAATGCAATAATTTATTACATTCAGCGTTGCAACTCTAAAGGATATTTGTACCATTAAGCAACGTTATATCTTTAGCGGTTGCTACAAGGCATAGTAATGATTTGTTTATGAAGATATTATGAAATGGGATTTCTTAACTATTTTCTGTATCTCATCGATCTATGTAAGACCAACAATTGTTTCAGCGCGAATTTTATCGAAATCAATGAATACGTTATAGTATTAAATGTATGATGTTTTGAATTTTCTTTAAGAAATTTGTTTGCTTCGTAAATATGAAAAATTCATCATTTCATCGGTTTTATTCTTGTACAATAATTTTTATAAATGTTTATATCATACCGAGGGTACATTCTAATCTTTCCGAAAGGTATTTGATCTTTTGGGTTATTTTTGTAATGCATTTATTTATCTTCAAGTGATACAAGTTTGTTATACCATACAAAATTAATTGCAAATATTGCATGACTCAAATTAATTTCCAAAATTATTCTGTGCTATTATACATGCATGAAAAATGTGAAACAATAGAATATTTGTTGTGGGAATTTGAACATGTTAAGACTATTTTTGAGAATTTTGCAAACTACTATTTCGATAAAATCCACACCACTATCACTTTTTCAGAAAAAGAATTTTAATTGGGCTCTGTGAAGAAAACTGACAAGCTTAAAAATATTATTACTTTACAAATAAAACATTATTTATCTGTACAAATGTACAGAAACATCACCTAAGGTGGGTTGATATCCTCTATTAAGACAATGTACGAATTACAAAAAGAATATATCTTATAAGAATAATGAAAGAAAATATTTATATGAGAGCTGGAAACCTATGACAGATTCATTTTTATGACCCTTTCTCTCCCTCTTTCTCTTCCCCTCTCTCTATTACAATGTTTTATTCCTTTTGTAAATAAGTTTTTGAAAATGCAATAAAATTTGATATATGTTATGATTTATGTAATATCTTTTATTATTATCTTAATGGAATAGCTTATATCGTAATCGATGTAATATTAATATTATGTATTTAAACAGGTAAAAAGTATTACTACACATGTAGCTTCATTTTCAGGAAAATGAAAAAGAAGCATATTTAGTAAACATATCAGAAGCTGGACTACAGTCGTTAATGTAAGTGTTTTAAAAATGAAAAAATGAACTGCGGTTAATCTTCCAACTTGATATGTATGGCCAATGTTTTTTAAAATAAATATACTTCTCGTATTATATATCAAAATTATCTATAAATAAAACATTAATTTTTATTATTTTAGTTCAATAAATGAATAATCACTTCAACTCATTTTTGTTTTTGTTTTTTATTGATAAACAAAGGAACTTTGAATGATACCGGTATTTTGTTCATCAACACCCTTGTTTCCGTCACTTATTGTCAAGTCTGACTAATATGGGGTATCTGGAGTCCATATATCATGACTGGTAAATCATCAAAGTGATAATGAAACAAATCAAAGTTAAGTAGTATAAATATATAGTGTAAATGCAAGACTAACTTTTATTTTGATAATTCTATGATTAACTTCCTGTACACCTGTCATTTGTATTGGCGAGTGGCTTGTTCTCGGAACCTAACTTACCCTTCTTTGTGTTGAACGTAACAGTGATTAAAATGACCTTTTACATCGGTAGTTTATATTGGTGTCATAGATTTATACTTTCCTATCCTATGTTTAATATAAGAGTGCATTGATTTTATACATTTATAGCTATATGTTCTTTACCTTATTTCTCAATGTTCTTAAAAAGAAGCAGTCTGGAGCCAGCAGTGACAGCGTATTAGTTTCAACTATATTGTTGATTTTCGAGACAGGTGTAATCTCTATTTTGGTATTTTAAAAGCTTGCCAGACAGCATAGTAGTCACCCCAAATCCATTCTGTTGTTGAGATGAAGACACAGGATGTCATTGTTTAAGTACTTGCTGGTTAAAGGTCAAATATCAAGGAAATGGATATATTTGTATATAATATATGTTGTAAACAATGGTTAAAAAGAAGGAATTACAATATTCGTTTAATTTTAAACCTCGTTCTTTTCTTTATTTACCTGTTCAAATATCGCTAAAAATAACGTTCATCAATAGACTTACTTCCCCTTTTTGTGACGACATTAGAGACACTCGACAAAATCTAGTTATACATAAGTATAGTAAAAAGTGCTCTTGATTATCTAAAATTATGGCAAATTTTGGGGAACAGAAATGTTGATATATCAGAGTTATGCGTAGATCTGTCTGTTAAGAATAGGCTTTGTATATTTGAGTCAAGAA